CATTCCCAAAATCCCAAACAGGCCCCTGCTCTTCCCTAAAACCCCGCGTTCAGCAGGCTCTGCTGATGGGGCTTCAAAATCCCATCAAACCCCAAAATCCCATCAAGCCCCATGGATGGGGCTTCAAAATCCCATCACACCCTGTATGGAGGGGGTTCAAAATCCCATTAAATTCTGTGGATGGGGGTTCAAAATCCCATCACACCCTGTATGGATGGGGCTTCAAAATCCCATCACACCCCATGGATGGGGCTTCAAAATCCCATTAAATTCCGTGGATGGGGCTTCAAAATCCCATCACACCCTGTATGGATGGGGCTTCAAAACCCCATCAAACCCCATGGATGGGGCTTCAAAACCCCATCAAACCCCATGGATGGGGTTCAAAATCCCATCAAACCCCATGGATGGGGCTTCAAAATCCCATCACACCCCATGGATGGGGCTTCAAAATCCCATCACACCCTGTATGGATGGGGCTTCAAAATCCCATCAAACCCCATGGATGGGGCTCCAAAATCCCATCAAACCCCATAGATGGGGCTTCAAAATCCCATCAAACCCCATGGATGGATGGGGCTTCAAAATCCCATCAAACCCCATGGATGGGGTTCAAAATCCCATCACACCCCATGGATGGGGCTTCAAAATCCCATCAAACCCTGTATGGAGGGGGTTCAAAATCCCATTAAATTCTGTGGATGGGGCTTCAAAATCCCATTAAATTCTGTGGATGGGGCTTCAAAATCCCATTAAATTCTGTGGATGGGGCTTCAAAATCCCATCAGACCCCATGGATGGGGCTCAAAATCCCATCACACCCCATGGATGGGGCTTCAAAATCCCATCACACCCCATGGATGGGGCTTCAAAATCCCATCAGACCCCATGGATGGATGGGGCTTCAAAATCCCATCACACCCTCTGGATGGGGTTTCAAAATCCCATCAAACCCCATGGATGGGGCTTCAAAATCCCATCACACCCTGTATGGATGGGGCTTCAAAATCCCATCAAACCCCATGGATGG